TCGTTAAGCACCAGAGTAGTAGAAAATCTACTAACGTCGTTAACGGTCAAAAGTTTAGCTCATATTTTTTAAGATTCAGATTACATGTGGTAAAGTCTATTTTTTATACAATTACCATTATAATGATATACAGGAAGTAAATTTTGCTAGAACTAATAAATTAGTAATGTGTAATCAAAACAAAACTTTGTAATTTTAATACATGCGTGACTTATATAAAAGTGAATTAAAAAACCCCAGCATAATAGGGACAAGTATAGATTGACATCTGATAATAATTAATATTACTACCATAAAACGCTTCGTTGCGAAAACGTTCATCTTAATAAATTCCTATATTTTAAGACGTAGGTTTTTTAAACGTTACAGAAATTTAAAATAAAACTGTGATTTCACATAGAAGACGAGTTTTTTAAACATATAGTTCGTTTCAAAAGCTTGTTGCAGATATGAAGGACGCAGGATTGACTGCCAATATTTTTAGATAGTTGAAAAATTTTTTTAATAAAATATTTGATCATGTTTTATTGTTTTTTCAAAATAAAGTGTATTGAAAGAAATATAATTATCGATTATGTTACACATCTAATTGCTAAATTAATCCAGTTTTCTAAAATAAAAATACTTAAGTTTTGAAAAAATAAAATTCGGCTGTTTTGAACATTTTTAATTATTTTCCATATTTTTGTTTTTGAATAAAGTTGAGAATTCTTTCAATTTTCGTGGAAATTTTGTCAAATAGAAGTGATTTGGCTTCTTTTGACACATATTTGAGCAATAATCGATCCAGTGCAAATCGAGCGCAAGAAGTGATTGACACAAAAAGAATAAATGTTCATCACAGTAAAAATAATACTTTTTCAGCTATGCATGGAAGCTAAAATATTCTTTGGATGTGTTATAAACATGATATATTGATGTTTATAAATTATTTACAATTTTAGAATTCGCTGAAGAAATAGAAATCTATCACAACGATTGTGCTTCAAAATAAGTTTTATTGCGGAAAAGCTATTTTAGAAATTGAATGTAATTTTGCGCGAAGGGCGACAATAATCATTCAAAAATTTCAGTGTATCAATTTTTGATCATTTTTAATATTTGATGTACTTTTTGTATGCTTGAAGGTTACATAGAAAAACAAAGTCACTTTTATTTAAAATCGAGATTTTGGTGATAAAAATTTGTATTATTGTGATGTATTTTTTAGGCTATCAAACTAGTCATAAATATAGGTTAGTAGACCTATGACAACTGGAATTCGAAATAAATCAAAATAAATTTTCTTAATTGAAATAAATGTTAAATAATACAATAAAAATGTGGTTATTATGATTTACTGTTAAACAGTTTATAAGACTAAGTTTTTAAATATTTCTAAGAACGTTATATACTTGGTTTTTCCTAAAAATGTAGTATTAAAATCCTAAAAAAGGATGGCTTTTCTGTTATATCTCAATGTAATTGTTAATAATTTGTAATGGACAGTTTGGATAAGATACTGTAAACTAAGATAAGTATTGTAAATATATAATGTGCGACAACATCGGAAGTGTGATAAGAAGTAACATTGGTAATTTTGGTTATGTTTTTTTTATGAACACATTTTTTCTTCTTCTCTCTAATATAAATTAAAAAGAAACAACATGTATTTCATGATAAATCAAATGGAAATATTAATGAACTATGCCTGAGAAAACAGTGAATGAACGCCCACGAATATCAACTATACCTGAACACCTAAACCAGTAAACTCGGCATCACCGATACGACGGAATTAAGGTCAGAAGTTAAACTTCTACTTATCGTACGCAGCTCATTCACATACTATATAGCACATAAAAATTAATATGTTTATTTTTTTTTATACGAATACTTGTATACATTATATTATTGTCTAACATCATAAAACTATAATTTGCTTCTTATGTTAACAAATTGTAATTAAACCTATCTGTTTATATTTGTAAAATAAAACAAATACCATTTCAAATTATTGCAAAAATAATTTATTTTTGTTTATTATACTAGAAATCTCCACATTTAACCTTGTTTGAAATTTATAGTTTGTTAAAAATTATCACATAAAACATTATATTAAAATTGTTTTGTTTATTTAATTAAAATTATATTCTAAAAGAAAATTTATAGTCATAAATATAGATATTTTAAATATTGTGTCAACATGCTCCGGCAACGGAGTAAGTAGAAACAAAATTTATACTTAACGTTTTCATCTGCAAACTAAATAAAACTGAAAAAAATAATTTTCTTATACTAAGGCCTATGTGTTTTTGAACCTATCTATAAAATTTCATTACTCTACCTTAAATATTATTGATATAAGAGCCAAAATTGTAATAAGTGTATTGACTAGCCTCGGTCTCTCGTTGTAATTAAATTTGATTACACAAATTTGAACATAGGCATTTAGATAATTTAATATCTATCTATCTTAATTATATAGAGTCAGGTTAACCTAGTGATTTAAAAAGGAATTTTTACGCCGGCTGATGACCTGACGCAACCTTGTTATGGCCGAAGGAGCAAGCTAGGGGTAAGGCGTGTGACACTGTTAGAGTTCCCGTATGGTCACCCATCCGAGAACCGACAGAAAAAATTACTAAGACAGTGACTTAATGATCCGCTGCATCACATCACGCCCTTCTTAAATAATTTAATGTAATTCATGAAATAAAAAAATTATGCTTTCGTATGTTTTAAAAAACAATACTATTTAGCTAGTATTAATTTTTTTTTTCATACCATAGAAGACAACATAAATAAATAGTAAATAATAAAAAATTATGATAAATTTTATGTATAATAGTGAAATTATTTTATTTTCAATAGTTTTGAATCAAGTGTTTGTTTTATCAAAATTTGTATTGGGAAGCTAACTCTATTGATAAAGAAAAATAATTTAAAGTCGTTTAAGGCCACACATCATTAAATAAATAATAATCTTTACGCTATTAACAAAAAAATGTTTGTATAAAAAAAAAAATGTTCAATATATTTTTAATTGCTATAAGTTATACATTTATCTATTTGATATTACAAATAAACAAAACCCATTACTATATAAATTTAAAATTGAATATATATCATCAATGATAACACAAGTAATCAACTAATATGTTTATAAATTATAGAATCTATCCATAAAATAAAATTTATTTATTTATTACCTCGTAAAAAAAATTGTCTAGTGTTTTGTCTATTTATATATTGATAGTTAATAGATTGGTTTTTTAATAAAATTTTCATTTCAATGTTAAATCGGTTGAACAATTTCATTTACCTGTATTAAATGTATTTAATAGCATATCTGGCTGTCATTGACTGAATAAAAAAAAGGAAATCATCTATTTCAAATTTCATTTACCTTAATTGAATTATTTCAATACATACAATATTGTTTTTTCATCAATGTATAAAAACAGCTGTATCACGCCAATATTAAAATCTGTCTATGGAACTGATATAGAAAATTTCTTGAGTTACCTTTTTTAGAGAAAATCTTAAAGTTAATTTTGCTTAAAATTTTGATCACCTTTACTATCTACAATTTCAGCTCTGTTTACCTT